CCACAAGCCGTGTCTTTTTTTTATAGACGGATTCCACGAGGCAATGTAAGGGCGTGATCAAGCTGTTTACAACATTCTCGTGGGTTTCAGTCCCACTCAATTACATGCACCTGAACTCCATCACAAGGCACGTGGGGCCACGTGTTCGGACCACAGGTTCAAGCTCACAGCTAGAGCTGTTGGCTATAATTGTGCTGGGAAGGCTCTGCCCTCCAGCTGGGACTTGCACGTGGCCATGAGAGGACCGTGCCCTCTCATCAGTCCAAGGCATGAACCTGTCCAAAACACTTTAGCCGCGCCCAACCATAAAAGTGCTACAGGAGCCCAGCTGGTGTTGCTCAGTGGATTGAGCATCATCCCGTATAGATCAAGATGTCTGGGGTTAGATTCCCAGTCAGAGCACATGCTTGATCCCCAGTAGGGGGCGTGCAGGAGGCAGCTGATAGATGACACATGGATGTTTCTATCTCTCTGTCTCCCTCTCTTTCTAAAAATCAATAAAAACTTTTTTTTTAAGTGCTACAGGAACATGGAGGGAGATGCTGCAGACACTTTTCTGGGAAGGAAACTTAAGCAACAAAGGCACGCCTAACATCCTCCGGGGCTTTGGGGGCCACTGATGCGTCTGCAAAGGGATTCTCAGAGGACCAGGGCTTCTCTAGGCTCACCTCACAGTCACGTGCTGGGGACGGAGAAAGCTGGGGTCGGGGTGCTTCCTCTGCAGGGAGACTCAGACCCCCTCACTTGCCTCCCGTGGAGCGGGGGGGCCTGCAGCCCTGGGGGATAGCACCCATGTCGGGCTGCCTGCGGATACCGCTCAGAATCTAGGCATTCGGATTAAGTGAGTCCATGTTGAGGTCTCCTACCCTGGCCTTGCTGGCCGCAGCCACGCTGGACCTGGGAAGGGCTCGGGGGATGGGGTTTCTGTCTGCAGAGTGGGTGCTGGACAGGCTGCCGTGCCCCGCCCGGCACACCACTATCGGGCCACGTCAGTCTTAGTGCTTTTGATGCAACTAACAGAACGCCCACCGGCACGCGGCCTCCCAGCTGGTGGTTTTGTTTTTCCTTTCTCACGTGACAAGCCTGGAATTAAGTTCTTGGGAAGGCCAAAGCTCAGAGTTTGCTTGTCTGTTACCCCCAGGGCCAGGGCACATGAGACCTCACTCACTGAGCCAGAACTTGGCTCATTTGTGCTCCCAGCTCCCAGCCTAGCGGCCCCTGACTCCAGGCCTGAGTCCAGGAACTTGTTGACCGGCTGGAGCAGGGCTTGCTTTAGTGCCCGCCCAGGGGTGTCGAACCTCCATGTGGAAGCCTGCTCTGCCAGCCCATCTGGTGATTGTCAAAGTACTCGGACAGGAATCCCTACCAGTTCTTTAAAAATCCAGGCTATGTTCTCTTGGGGGACTTTGGCCCGGTATTTTTGTGTTGTTGGTTTTTTTCCAGTCCAAAAGTTAACATTCATGCAATTTATTAGGCTGATCCGACCCGGAATGTTTCTCTAAAAATAATCTTGCTGTAAATGTTTTTGAAACTACATTTTCTCAGAATAAGGAAGTCGTCTGATAAAGGACTAATTGTGTAAGAAGTGCCTGGCCAAATTTCATCAGATTATTTAAAATTGAGATGTAATTAACAAATAAAATTGTAAAATATGAAAATACTGTACATTGTAGTGACTTAAATACAATAATCTTAACAGGTTTAATGTTTTAAAAGGCAAAACAAACAAATAGCATTGCTGTAAAGAAGTACTGAAGTGGAAGTTTCTGAACCTAGTTGAGTAAGAGCAGGGCCCACCCCCTTCTTAGAGTAACTGGCCTAAACGCTGCCGCCCGCTCCCAGAGCAGCAACGTCCTGCAGCCACTTCTACCAAAGGCAGCAACTCGGGCAGGCGCCCTGGGATTCCTTCCATTTTACTTTGTTTATGCTGAGTCACAGGGGGTGGGGTGGGTGCATGTCGGAGCCAGGAGCAGTTACATGGTTGAACGATAAAGAATGCGTGTGTGCAGGAAAGTGTGTGTGTGTGTGTGTGTGTGTGTGTTTTGGGGGAAGATGTCCAGCTTCCCCTCAGTTTACTGGCTTTATTGAGTCTTCCTGAAGAATAAAGAGTTGGAAAGGACTTTCAATTAAGGGAGGGAGGCAGCTGGAAGTCTGAGCAGGAATACTCCCCAATCAGGGTCAGTTCCGAAGTTCCCTTCCGGGGTAGCCCAAGGCGTAAACTGAGGAGGGGTGAGTCCCCAGCCAGCCTGGGGAAAGGCTGGAGGCAGTTCCGAAAGCTCTGGGTTCCCATCCTAGAGCGCCCCAGATTGTGGGGCGGGAGCCACACTGACACTTCGAAGGGGAGAATGGAGCAGGAAGGCTCTCATACCTTCAGCTGTAGGTCACTGAGTAGGTTTAGCAAGAATCCAGGTGATTTTTTAAAAATTGATTTCAGGGAGGAGAGATAGAAACATCAGTGAAGAGAGAGAATCATTGATCAGCGGCCTCCTGCACACCCTCCACTGGGGATTGAGCCCACAACCCCGGTATGTGCCCTGACTGGGAATCGAACTGTGACCTCTTGGTTCATAGATCAACAACGCTCCACCCTGAGCCACGCCGGCCCAGGGGGGTCTTGCGTGCTATATATGTAGCTCCTGGAGCCGGACCGGAACAACAGGGCACTTGGCGCTCAGCTCCAGCTCCAGCTGCCTCCCAGGAACCACACTTGCTGGCGAACACACACAGTGAGCACTTGACCCAGCTGATCATCCTTTACGGAACACGCCTTCCCTCGGTTCCTTGCTCCTCCCAGGGTGCCTCTCTGCCACCTCGCCTGGAAGGATGGTGAGTCAGGCCTGCACGCCTCATCTTCTTCTTGCCACTCTCCCCAGGTAATGCCATCCTCTCCATGCTACTTACTGTGCCGTTGGCCAGACCTTTGTCTCCAACATCCTCCTTTTCTGAGCCTCTTGTAACCACCTGCCCTGAATATGCCATCAGGATGTCTCAGGCACCACACCTGAATCCAAACACACACACCCCTCCCCCCACCTGCTCCTCCTGTGTCGTCCAACTGCCGATGAGGCCCCCTCCTCACCCAGGCCCCTACACGCTGCTCACTGCCAGTCTACCCTCCGTCAGCGTGTTCCTTCATCCGCTTTCTTTTTTTTTCTTTTTTTTAAAAATATATTTTATTGATTTTTTACAGAGAGGAAGGGAGAGAGATAGTTAGAAACATCGATGGGAGAGAAACATCGATCAGCTGCCTCCTGCACATCTCCCACCGGGGATGTGCCCGCAACCCAGGTACATGCCCCTGACCGGAATCAAACCCGGGACCCCCCAGTCCGCAGGCCGACGCTCCATCCACTGAGCCAAACCGGTCTCGGCGTTCATCCACTTTCTTGCCCTCCCTTCAGCTTCACTGTGGCTTCTTCCAGGAGGCGAAGCATGTCGTCCCTCCCAAGCCAGGCCCTCAGAGCACCCGGGCGACCTCATGGAGCTCAACATGCTTCTCGTAATGATGCCATCTTTCTGCCCGAGGACCTCGGCCCTGGCACCCAACAGAGTCCCTAGCACAGGATGGAATGGAGGGGTGCAGTCGGGGCACAGGGCTTTTAGTAATGATGCCATCTTTCTGCCCGAGGACCTCGGCCCTGGCACCCAACAGAGTCCCTAGCACAGGATGGAATGGAGGGGTGCAGTCGGGGGCACAGGGCTTTTAGCGAAGAAATGTGGGGTGTGGGAGTCACAGGTGGCTTGGGTAAACCCAGATACACCCAGATGTATAGGTTGCTGTTCTCCATTCCAGGAATCGGATTTGGAGGCCACAAATGATCAAAGTCTCTTCGTATTGACAAACATTTGCCGATTCACGTCATAGGCCAGGCCCTGTGGGCCTTGAGATGGCCAGCCCCAGTCCACCTTCCAGACTCTCACCCTGGGGGCAAGCAGATCCTGAGTTCTGAGGGGACAGGCAGGGTGGGATCCAAAGGGAACAGGACAGTTGCAGAGGCCTTCGCCCCGAATGACCTCAGGGCACAGAAGAGGGGGAGGGCGCAGCTGGTTGCTGCTTAGGGCTGAAGGAGTTCTGAGAGTTGGTTCAGGCACAGAAGAGACTTGAACCACCACTGTGAGCATGAAGGCCAGGGCCCCGGAGCCTCAGGCCACATCCTGGCTGGGCCGACACTGCCTGCATCCGGGTCCTTGGCTGCCCACGCGAGGCTCCATCCCAGCCCTGGAGCCCCTCCCACTGCGACAGGAGGTGGTCCCAGGTCTGCAGGGAAGATCACTGACAGCAGCACCCCCAGACGGAGAGCCGGCCGTGAGCCACACCTCAGCAGCAGCAGCTGGCCTCCGAGATAAGTTCCTATCCCAGCCTGGCCCTGCATCTGCAACTAACTGCCAAGGACCCTGCAGGGCGCGGCCAGAGGGCCAGTGTGTGGTATACGCTTCTCACTCTGAATCCACGAGAGGCAGCCACCAGTGAGGACAGTGAGGACGGCATGGGAGCAGACGTGCTAGGCAGCAACATGCAAAGGTCTAGCGAAGGAAATGGGGAAAGAACTTGTCATGTTGCATGAGCTTCCAACTGTAAAACGGGCTTGTGTGGGTCTAACGCTTGGAGAAGCCAGACTCCGGGAGTGGGAGCCTGAGATGGCGCTGTGTTGTGTGAAGGTCACTTCACGCCCAGCACACGCTCAGGGAGAGGCCCACCGCTGGGCTAGGAGTCAGCCCTTGCCCGTCCTCCCTTCCCGAGTCAGGACTTTCTCCTCCAACAGGCCCCTGGGGATGGCCCTATTGCGTGGCAGGGAGAGGGAGACACTGGGCCAGGAGCCCGGGCAGCATAGCAGAGTGGCCCCCACACACTGCAGAGGAAGGAGAGGAAGCTCAGGCTTGGCCAGGAGTGGAGGGTGGGGGGCTCCAGCTCCCAGCCCGTGACAATGCGGAGAGGGGAAGGGAAAGGTGTGTGTGTGTGTGTGTGTCCCCACGCTGACGCTGACACAGGACAAACAGAGTCCGCGGACACCGGGCAGTTTATTGTGAAAGCCATGTGTGGGAGGGGGAGGCGGGGGTGGGCAGGACCAGGGCGCATCTGGGGGGGTTTGGCTGGACATCAGGCATTCCTCCGCGTAGGTTTAGAGGCAACACCGTCATGGATAAACACCCCCAGAGGCCGGTGGGTGAGCGGGCGCCCTAGGCACTGCCGGGGGCCTGGGCCAGCAGGGCTTCGATGTCGGGCTCGATGTCGATGGTGGGGAAGCGGCGGCTGTACCTGCGCACGGGCACGCCGTCCGGGCCCACCAGGAACTTCTCGAAGTTCCAGGACACGTCGTTGCGGCACACGGGGGACCAGGTGACGAGCTTGGGGTCGGTCATGAGCGCCGTGGGGTCGTCGCTGGGCGCGGGCAGCGCCTCCCGCAGGAAGACGAAGAGGGGGTGCGCCTGCGCGCCGTTCACCTCGCACTTCTCGAACAGCGTGAAGTTGGGCTCGAACCCGCCGCCGGGCCGGACGTACTTGAGCAAGTTCAGGATCTCCTCGTTCTTGGCGTTCTCCTGCGGGAGGGGAGCGCTGGGAGCCGGGGCCTCGAGGGGAACCAGCGGACCGCAGAGCGGGGCTTTTGGGTGACTCACCGGGCCCGGCCCATCTGGCCCCACCCCGGCCTGGACCGCGCGGGGGAGGGGAAGCGGGCCGGCGGCTGCCTGGCCGCGTCCCGGGCAGGAGGAGGCGGTGGCGACCGCAGGGCTGCGCTCCCACCCGCCCGCCCCGCCGCCCCGCCGCCCCGCCGCCCCGCCCGGCGCACCTGGTGCCCGAACTGGTTGCACGGGAAGCCGAGCACGACCAGGCCCCGCGGCCCGAGGCGCCGCTGCAGCTCGTTCATCTGGGTGTAGTCGCGCACCGTCGTGCCTCAGAGCGAGGCCACGTTCTCGATGAGCAAGACCTTGCCCCGCAGGGCGCCCAGGCTCAGGGGCTCCCCGCCGGCCAGCGGGCGCGCGGAGAACGCGTGCACGGAGCGCGGGGCCGCGGCCCCCGCCAGCTGAGCGGCGCACATGGCGTGGGGTGGGCAGCACAGGGCGCGCCGGGGACAGGAACACCAGGGGACCCGGGGCGCAGCGCCTTTTAACTCACAGGCCGGCCGCGGCGTCACGTGGGACAGGCAGCTCCACCCCCTCCGCCCGCCCCATCCGCCTCCCGGCTGGTGGCCGGCGGCGCGGGAGGGTGCGCCCCGGCCGGATGCAGGCACCGCCCAGACCCTGCGGAGCTGCGCGCAGCCGGGCGCCGACCGCTATCCCGACGGGCGCCAGGGCCCGGCCTCCAAGGCTCTTGTAGGGGCGGGAGGCGGCTGCAGGTGACAGCACCTGGCGCTCTCCCGCCCACCGCCCTTCCGGCCTCTGCCCGGTGCTGTTCCCGCTCAGCAAGTTGTGGCTTGTGGTGATGGGGGGTTGGCAGCACCGGCCAAGGCAGGTTCTTCTGCGAGGAGGCTGTGGTTCCAGGAAGGCTGAGGGTGGGCAGTGCCAGGAGCAGGCAGAGCACCGGCCCTGAAGCCGGAGCCGCTCAGTTCCCCGCATCCGGGGCTGTCCGAGGTGTTCGGGCCCTGCCCCAGGGCCTCCCTCCGCCTTGTACAGCCTGGAGGGCCCTGCCCCAGGGCCTAGAATGGAGCCGTGAGCAGCATGCCCTTCTCCATCCCTAACCAACTCCACCTGGAGCTCAGTCCTGGACCTTACAGGCACTGAAAACGGGAGGGAATGAGGAAAAGGTCGCACTCTGATCTGTGTAACGCCGGCTTGGGGTGCCCTCCCCACCCAGCCCAGTGCTGAGCCTGAATGCGACACAAGGTGGTCGTGTGCATGCTCTTAGGAGCCAGGCTAGTGGCGTGAGGAAAGGGGTGGTGGGCCAGCTGGCACTTCGCCCCCTGCAGGAAGCTTCCACGGTGAGCGGGGCCAAGCCCACCCTCGCCCTCCCAGCCCCGAGAGAGGCACACAAACACCAGGATACAGGAAGTGTAGAAAACTGCCTTTATTCTATTAGTAGTTGGAAAAATTAACTGGTACAGAAACAGTTCAGTCAGCGGGAGGGCAGCCGAGCGCACAGAACTGGTGGCTCCCCCGGAGGGAGCCTGGCACAGCGAGGAGCAGGGCGCCTGAGCCAGGCCCGCAGTCCAGGTGCGACAGCTTGTGCCGCCTTCGGGAGCGACTGCATTCCTCAGGCACAGAACCAAATTCCTGTTTATTTAGCCCAGCTCTGGGGAGGGGACTGGGACATGTGGGGTGAAAATGGGTGATATGGCCATCTTTTATCAGAGACACCGACAAAGCGGGAATTTTAAAAATGAATCTTCCATCTGACTTTATTTTCAAATACACTTTCTTTTTTAAAAAAACCAATACACTTTCTGTGGGGATGACAAATATCAGTATTAGGAAATCCAATTATACAAAAAATACTACATCTAGTTTGGGCAGATATATTTATTTTTGGTAACATACATTAGGTGGCACTAATTACACAGTAACTATAAGGTAACTAACATGAAACCACAGAACTGTAACTGCCACAGCTGCAGGACCTGGGCCTCTCGCTGAGCACGTGAAAACTGGATGCCCATTCCAGAGGCACAAGGACACCTGCTCAGGAGTCAAGCCCTGAAGGGGTAGCTCCCAGAGTCCCTTGCAGCTGACAGATGACAGGCAAGCATGTTAGTTATGAAGTAGTTACAGCCTAACTCACAGAAGTTACCATTTCTCTTTCTAGAAAGAAGCAAGAAGTGAAGGGATTCCTCGAATTAGCGCCTGTGTATCGGGTGGGGGTGCAGAGGAGGCTGTGAGAGCGGTGGCAGAGGACCCGCGGGCCAGATCATTAATAATCATGGTTGGCTTCTAAATACTGGTAGCAAGATGACTTCTGATTTGTAATCTTAGGTAAATTATAGATAAATGAAAAAGGCCAGGAATCATACACTAAGATTAATAAACAGCACTTCAAAATGAACCGCGTGAGGGCTGTGCTTGCAGCGGGCTCACAAAACAAGGCACCCGGATTTCTTCTTCCCACGTCTGGCCTGCAGAGCAGCTCTCGTGGCCATTTCGAAAACCTCCCTCACTCCGTCTTTGGTCTTTGCTGAGCACTCCATGTACCCAAAAGCGCCAATCCTGTTTGCCATATCTCTGCCTTCTTCCGGTTTTACTGGCTCCTAGCAGAGAGAGAAGAGTGTTATATACATACAGTGAGTAGGTGTATTTAATTTCAGCTAAGACCTCTTTTAAAAGCTACCAAATCCCCAACTTTGAGTTCTGTCTATGAAATTCTTAAGTAGTGAGCACCAACCCAATATAATGTCCCTCTCACACGAGCTCTTCTCTGGGGAGAGGCCAGAGAAGCCCTGTAGGTTAACATTAAGGAGGGACTGGAGGACACAACGACTCAAGCTGCTGATCCAGGCAAGCCCCTGGTCCTCCCGTAGCTTCCCAGAGGACGAACGCCCCCGGAGAAAATAGATCCTGACCTTGACATTCAGTCAGAGAAACCCCAGTGGGAGAACCTGGGGTGAAGACCTCCGGACTCTCCTCCTGCCACGGGGAAGCCCTGCCACTGGGTCATCTGGCTTCTCCATCATCACCTTTAAAGGCATCGGGGCTCTTGGCCTCGACTCCCCGCCCTCAGAACTTCCTGATCCTTCAGTTGCCACCAATTTATTTTGGCCTCACATATACCAAGGTAATAACTGAAGAGGGAAATCCAGAGCCTGGTCAAGTTCCTGCACTTGGAGCATTGACGCCTGCTGTGACGGGATCTTCCGAGGCTGGCAGTCCGTGGAGCGTAGCACTACCTCACGGGAGATTCCATCTCATATGACCAGACCCCAGGCAATAAGGGCCAGATGGAGAGAGAGGTTTCTGTTGGGCTCCCTGAACCTCCACTTGGGCCCTCAGGTTCAAGAATGCTACAAGACCTGGCCAGTGTGGCTCAGTTGGTTGGAGTGCCATCCCGTGCACCGAAAGATGGTGGATTTGATTCCCGTTAGGGTGTGTGCGATCAATGTCTTCTCCCCACCCCCGTCCCCGCCCCCACTCAATGAAAACCTATCCCCGGGTGAGGATTAAAAAAGAAAAACGAATGCGACAAGACAACAGAGCCCTGCCCGTCCGTGCCTGCTTCATCTTGGCTAGCTCCCGCCTTGTGTGCTCATCATTTCGAAGATCCTTCTTGTTCCCAACCAGGATGATGGGCACATTGGGACAGAAATGCTTGACTTCCGGAGTCCATTTTTCTGGGATGTTTTCTGAAAATAGCGAAATGCACATAATTCAGGGATACACAAAGTTGAATCTCCAAGATCCCTAATTAAACTGTGAATATGTCTCTCCTCCGTGTGCAGCGCGGCCAGAGCGCGGTCCCGTTCCTGAGCAGGGGCGGCTGGGGACTGAGAAAATGAAAGAAAGGGACAGACACAGATGGAAAGAAAAGCTGGGGCCGGGTGGGACCACTGTCCTCTGATGCAGACAGGGACAGAGACAGTGACCCCGAGCCAATACAGCGTATTTATTTTATACAGCACAAACAAGGAAGTTTTACTAAAAGTCAAGACAAAGGAGATTATTTGCATTCTTGGGGCTTGGCTGGATTTAAATAACAAAACCCACCCCCTGGCACCTGGGCTGAAGGTCAAGCTGACAACACTCCTGCCTTTTGGCAAAACGTGTTTCCAGGACCTGGCTTTGCCAAACGCCACTGGATTCAGCTGACAATAATTAAAGAAATGCCCATGTGCCTTCCCAGGTGCTCTCTACAAAACTGCAAGGAAACTACTTCAGAATTATGCTGGCCATTTAATGGAATTTCACTAGTTTTAAAACTAGTTTTAATTTTGCCAGGAAAAGGCAAAATTTAACCGCCTACCATTAGGCACAGAATCACCAGCTGTTGTCAGTCCCACAAGAAGCACAGCTCCTGTGGAGGTGGGGCCCAGGGAAAGACTCTGGGGCAGCAGAGGGTGCATCAGTGCCCAGGGTGACTCCACAGTGGTGCCACCTGCCCATGCAGGGAGGTTCCCCATGCCCATCACCATCCCTGCTGGCAGGGGACTCTGACCACACCCCCATTCTGGGGCTGCAGCTGGCCCAGTGTCCACATGTTCTCGCTACACCTTGCTCCTGGGCCCTCAGCATGTCCCTACCCTGTAGGTTACTGGTATTTCCAATGGCTCATGAGCTCTGAACATGCGTGACAGCCAGCTGCAGCTTCCTACCAGCCTGGAGTATGGCTGTATGGACATGAAGGTGGACGAGCGAGCTTCGGACCCCTCAGTGTCAGGGATGGTTTATAAAGTGGGGAAAGGAGCAATCCCTATCTCACACCGGTTATTACGAGTCAATGCATGCAAAGCACTTAGTGTGATGATGATTTCAATGGTGCCGATTATGATTTGAAACTGTATTTTATAAGTAAGCTGCTCACTCTCTGACTTCAAGGCTAGTGCCTTGTTTTATAGAGTGTGAGGTCAGTATTAGTCATTTTCTGAAGGAGTGGCTTCTGAAACATGTGACCAACTGAGCTAATATGGCAGGTCCAAGTCTCTCATTATTAGCTAAGATGCTTTAGAAAAGGGCTAAGAGAGGACTTGAAAACACCACCGGAAATAGCAGTCCCCAGTCTAGATACAGGGAGGCAACATGAAGCACTAGAAAAGGTACAGGCACCCTGGAAAGCCTTCCCCCAATCTTAGTCCAAAAGCTAGTTGTCTTTGGAACTCGCCTGCTTCATAAAGTGGACACAGGGCAGCCACGGGAGACCCAGGCTGGAAAGGACCAGGGCCCAGGTTACACACATCAAGGCTCTAGGACTCTGGCCACTGAGGAGTCCTTTTCTGATGCTCGCCTGCTCGATGCCCAGAAAGGACCTGAGAAACTCGGTGTCAGCCAGGCACACGGGCAGTGACAAACTTCAGGCTGCAGAGCTACTCACCTAAACTATCAGGGCTGTCGATGGAGAAACACATCAGGATAACATCCGTGTCCGGGTAGGAGAGGGGCCTCAAGCGATCATAATCCTCCTGTCCGGCTGTGTCCCACAAAGCCAACTCGACCTGTGGGAGGAAAAGTAAATGCCCAAGTGCAAGGTTAATCC